GTACGGATTTTTTAGTTAATTTGGAGCCTGGCAGTAGTTCGGGGTCTGGTCGGCAGTGATGGAATGTAACCAGTTTGGTTTTAGAGGCATTGAATGTAACCAACTAGTTCCCCCACCCCATTGGGAAGTTAGGGTTAGATCGGAAAAGAGGTCTGCTGCCAATCTCCGATCGTCAAGAATTTTAGAGGTACGCCCGTATAGTTATTTTCTAAGCGTAGCTTAGATGTGGCACAAGGCCGAAAGTATAGGACACCTAGTGAGGATAGAACTCACATTTCAGTCGTAACTGATCTAGCGAGACAAGCTTGCTAATCATTACGCCACGCCGAGGTGAGGTACTCCCGTATATCGTCGTATCATTGGCATAGACGTTTATAAATGATTGGTGTATATTCTTAGGTAGATCATTTATGTAAATCAGAAAGAGTGTTGGTCCGATTTATACTGTAGAAAATAATATTGTCAATAGGCGGGTTTTGGGGTTTAGAAGTTTCGCCTATATATCTTTTATGGCAATGCAGGTATGTATTTTGATATATACCCGAATCCGATGAGTTGTTGGGTCTATGTTTTCTATGAAGATCCCTAATCGTCTTGGAGGTGGTCGCTTTGATTCTAGTGTCGGAGATTGCTAGATGGCTCTCTACTTTTCTCATGATTGTAGGGCATGATTGTAAATGTTGTTTTTTTTGTTGTCGGTAATGCCCTTTTTTTTCTTTTTTTTTTTTTTTTTTTGGACTTGTGGATTTTATATGTTCGTATCGTAGCGTTAAGGATGGAATTATGGGGTAGCGAAGAAGTTTAAATATTTCACTATGTATTTCTCTTCTTCATCTAGATGCTCTAGGATCCTCTGAGGTAAAAACATATAATTAATTCTGATTTTACTTTTGTTTGTGGGTTTGCGCTAAACGCTGAAATCTAATTTCCCAATACGCACAAAATTCATATATAATATCAATAACAATAATAATGTTTATAATAGAATTAAATCAATGCACACCAAACACACACACACATATACCTCCAAATTTCCTGATATACATTTTTTTTAAAATTTGATCCCATGCAAGGCGGGAGTGCTATTAACACGCAAGGTTTTACAGAGAGTGGGAGCAAGAGTAAAAAAGGCGTGATAAAAGAAAGGATAAAGAGAAGGACGGGGAATAGATCAAGGCATCTGGTGATGTCAATTGACGTTGCATTTGAATATTTGGAGATTATAGCTATCAGGAAAGCAAGCAAGAGGAAGAGAGTTCCACAGACGAGAAGTGCGAAACATGAAGCTATTGGAGTAGAAGAGATGGCTACATTTCTCAACCGATTCGAAAGTTAAAGGGTGGGATTGAGATGCCCGTTTAAATTCACGCAGTTTCGGAACTAGCGAAAGTAGCTCGTTGGAGCAGTTACCGTGAAAGTATTTGTAAAAAAGACAGAGGGAGGCGACGGCACGTCTGTGAGAGAACGACTATAAACGAGATGGCAGATCAAGACCAACCACATTGTATATCCGTCTCTGGATTTTGTCGATAAAGACGAACAGCGGGTGGGGGGGAGACCATATATGGCAGCAGTATTCTATGCAAGGGCGAATGGCTGATTTATAAATTTGAAGGATGGATTCGGCCGAGAAAAACATCTGGCGCGACACAGAGAAACAACTTTCCATGCAGTTGATGAAGCTATTGATTCAATGTATTTGTTTCATCTCAGGTTAGCAGACAGTGTGAGACCAAGCAGCTCTCGTAGATCTGAGCATAAGACCTTCTACTGGAACGCAAGGAGGGTTCTCTGTGGTGGGTAATAGAGAGATATTTCGTTTTGGAGGCATTAAAGTTAACCGGCTATTTCCTGCCCCAGTCAACAACCGACTGGAGGTCCTTTTCGAGACTATCGGCCAGGTCAGTTTTGTCAGCCATGCCAGATTTGCTATTAAGGCAGGAGTAAATAGTAGTCTCGTCTACATAGATGCCTTGCTAGGAACTGATGACATCGGGAAGATCATTAATAAAGATAAGGAACAGTGTAGGGCCCAGGATACAGCCTTGGGAAACACCTGCGTTCGTGAGAAAGGAACTGGAGGAGAATCCGTTAAGGACGATTTTCATTACATGGTTTGACAGGAATGATTGTATTAACTCAAATAATCGCCCTGAAATACCGTATCCCCGAATCTTACTGTTATACTGGAACATACCTATTCTATAGTTAATAGACTCTCCCACCTATAATAAGTAGTAGTAGTAGCAGTCGCCATGGAGCTCAGAGTGAGTTGGTGAGTCAGTCGATGTCGGACATTAAAGTATCAACCACCACAACTAGATTGCTGCATCATTAACTATTATTTCAAGTTCCTAACGTTTTGTACGTCGAACCTTTTTAGGACCGCCTTAGTGAAATACAAGCCTCCACTGTGAAACTACTCTATAACTCTTACGAAGGAGACAGGAATGCCAAACCACATCAAACGCTTTAGAGATATCTGGAGATATACAAATTCAGTTATTGCCGTGAGTACATCAGCTGTAGATCGGGCAAAGAGGAAACAATAATGCCTGTCAGAGAGCAGATCAAGAGATGTAAGTTGCTTACCACTTCGGCGTTGATTAAAGCTTCAAACACTTTGCCGAAGAGTGGTAGGAGACTAATAGGACGGTAGTTAGATGGTTCTGAAGGGTGGCCAGAGTTCTTAAAGACAGGTACAATAGATAAAGACTTCCAACAGGTTGGAAAGCAGGAAAACTTTCCTTTCCTCAACGACAGAATTTACTCCAACATAACATACATCTAACCAACAATCAACACACACAGCGACACCAGCAACTCCCGCAAAACTAACTTGAAATATGGTAGATAAACATAGAGACACACATCTTCCTACTACTACCAGATTCAGGAATTAAATATACGAACATTACCAGATAGACACAAACGCCCACTGGAATCCACACACGCGCGCACGTGCGAGCTAACACGCTACAACCACAGGACAAGACCATGTGAGATCTACCTGATCAATGAAAAATGGACATTAGAAAAATCAAAGTAGAGAAATTTTCTCCTGGATAATTAACTACCAAAAATATCTGATGAAGCTTAGAAAAAAGCGAAACCTGATAATTTCTTAACGTTTCCTAGTTGTTCCTTTTTCTGTTATAGCTTATTATGTCACTAGTTCAAAGATATTTATGCAGTAGAATATATATATATATAACGAGGATACAGGCTCTCATATAGTAAAAAAAAAGTAATAATGAAAATGCTTCTTAAATAGCTGCAAATATGAATAATGTGGATAATTCTTTTTATATAGTAGAAAATAACAGTATTATTTTTTTATATCATTTCACCCCAAAAAAAGGCGATGAAGACAGTGAGACATGTCTACTGTGTATGAATGAAACCGAGAAAAAATTACTGAAGAGAGGGAAGACAATAAAGGTAGACAAAATATGGCGAGGGGGGTTTCATTTTTTGAAAAATGCATTTGACAGGAATAAAGAAATCTGGAAAAGCGTTCCACAATCTAGAAGTGCACAAGAAGAAACTATTAGCATAGAACATACGGTTCGATCTAACAATTTCAATAGTAAAATCCTGGCTGCATATCAGGTACTGAGCTCAAATTCGTGAGTCGGAGTATCAAGTAGGAAAGCTCATCGGAATACTTACCTTGAAAATATTTATAGAAAACGCAGAGAAGCTACATTATAGCATTGAGAAAGTGACTGGAGTTAAGAGTACCTATGATATTACAGATTCTTCTTTGCATTCTGTCAAGAATCTCTCGATACATATCAGACTAAATCAGACAAAATGGCGCGTATACAGGGTGAGATGGATAAATGGCCGCCTAAATTACGCAAAAATAATAAAAAAAAAAAAACATTGGCATCTCATTTTAACATATATATTATATATATTTACCAAAATTGCACAAAAATATCTTAGAATACTAAAGAGTAAATTTATTCAATAAAATTGCCATTGGCTTCTACCACGGCTTCCAGACAACTTCAAAATCTTCTGTATCTCTTGTGGACGGTCTCCTTGTTTAAGATGGCGAATGCTGCCATAATCCTTGACTTCAGTTCATCTTTGGTGTTACAAGGAATTTTGTTGGTCACTCGCTCAACTGTGCCCCACACATAATAATTAACGGGTTTTCAGTCTGGGGAGTTAGGTGGCCAGTTGTAAGGGTTGAAGTGGTCGCAGAAATTGTCTGACAGCCATGACTTGGTTCTTCTGCTTGTGTGGTATGGCGAGGAGTACTGTTGCCAGACATGGGGTTTTCCAGCAGCCACTCACTTGACCCAGGCCTCCTCAAATCTAAGGCCCTCACCAACAAATTCGGGTGTTCTTTTCCCGTCAGATCTATCAGAGTGAGTTTTCCGATCTGCTGTACCTTCGTAAACGCCATTAGACTCTTCCAACTCTTTCCTTTGCACTGTTTTCTGAGTAAAAACCAAACAAGCTAAAATATTCGTATTGGAGCTTCCGGCGCGAATATCGAGCAGTACAGCATGCCGTTTCCAAATTTCTGGCGGAGTAAATTGCGTCATGGTGCTTTCTTTTCCCGCAGATGGTGCCCAACTGATTCAATTTGCCCATCGCACCCTGTATAGTAAGAAACATGAAGACAGCTTCTTTTATTAAGGAAAATATCTATAATTTTAAAATTGATTTTTTTGAGAAACTATTCATAATACTTAATTGATTGATTGCTTGGTTCATTTTTTTTTTGGTTCATCAACCCATTACAGGTTATTTAAAGCCAGAAAAATATTTGTAGATTGTAAGGATTTTTTTTCGAAATAATAATGATTTAGTGATACAGGTCTTACTATTTAACCCATAGTTGGGAGGAGAAGAAGGGAATTCATATCTTTTCCAAGGGTATTTGCGCGTAGTTGAATATAACGAACCCAACGGGAATTGAGACTCGATTCTCCGATTAATATTTTCGCGTAATTATCCATTGCACCATACTCATATCCAAGCTTACAGTACCTGGTATTCCCAAAGGGTCACCCATCTAGGTACTGGTCAGGCTCGATGTTGCTTAACTTCAGTGGTCCTACGGGTACCGGCGTTTCAACGTGGCCGTAAGTCTTTAAGACTTAATAAGGACACATGAAAAAAATTGTTCAAATTTAATTGCAAACAACATCTGTATTCTACAATATAAAAATACAAACTAATTCATTTTTTGCTTATTTCCACTCAAACTACCAAGTGAGAAAAATACATGTGAGTGTCGCTGTTCAGATTTAAACAATATTATCTTTATTAGACACTCAGTTTGAAACGTTAAACATTTTTCCTTTTTTATTTCGTTATATGGGAATCTTTCTCGCCCCATTTATCTGACTTCTCAATGCTTGCATATGTGTAATCAGCTTATCTTTTTATGTGGTAAGTAATATATTCCAGTGATTTTTATTTTGTAAATATATTATCCTTTGATCAGTTGCCTACCTACAAAGACATCAAAAGTTTTCAGACATGTAATACCATTGCAATCAGAAATGATTTCCTCTTTGAAAAAAGTCAAGAAAAAAAAAACTGGGACTTCCGAATCAAAAACGTTGAAAATAAAAACAAGACCCAAACATATATATGGTTATGTCGTCTGCATACACAAACGTCAAGAAAGCACTGTTAATATATTAAAAACTGTTAACTGATTATATTTACAGTTTCTGTGGATTCGGCTGTGTCTCTCGGTACAAATCAGTTGGAGACGGTAAACATTCGTCAAAACGATTACCAAACACATATAAAGACTATCTCGTTACTCCATAAAGATATTTGTTATCGAACATTTTTCTCCATTAATTTCTGACTCTTCTGATATTTGCTACTCTATCCCGGCTCTAAAGGAGACATAAAAAAGCATTACGCATGGGCATGGCTTACACATGTATATTTATAACACTAACATCTTAAGCATTTCGCAGGTCTGTATACGTATAAATCATATGGCTGCAATTATATGCAAATTTATGTACGAAATCAAACAAGTACCACAATCTAAATAGCTGGGAACTGTTTTAACAGAGGACGGAGAATTTGATATTGAATTCCGAATGTGCATAGCTAAAGATAACTCCTAAAAGCTAAGCAAAGTATTAAGAAACAGAGTAAAGTAAACAGAAAAGAGTACTGAACTGTTATGTATTTACTATATGTTGAATAACAGGACAGACTGGATTCTATAGCCTTGGTTGGCTAACCAGCTTGCTGCAGGAAAATCACTTGCCTAGACAGTTATGAATCGAAAGAAACATGGTCGCCCATGTGTGTATCACGTATGGCACTGAGTTGATTCACTAGATTAGCAGGAAGATTTCATCATTTTGCAGTTGAAATGTCTAGATGTAACTGTAACTTCTATGCTTACAGCTTATTCTCTGTTCCAGTTTCTTGCTTTCCAGGAAAATTTGATCTCCAAAAATTCAAATGCGATGTTTTAATTTCTTTACTTTTATTGTTCTCGCTCCTTAATAATGTTTTTTCTTTTTTTTATATTCTTTCAAACTTAGTAAGCCATTGTATCTTAGTGACATTATTGCCTTGCTTAGAGTGAAATGGTTAAAAACCATAATGATGAAGGAGTACTTGGGAAATCTAATACTCGCAGAACAGACTAAAGGCTAGTAGGATAGATGAAAACAACGCATGAACTACCTAGCAAGCTTGACGAAATGGATGGCGGAACAAGTTTTAGGAGAGATAACTTAAACACAAATCTTATTAAGAGCTATAAAGGACAAGACATTTTGAAGAGCCATAGTCGCCAATGTTCTCAAGGGTCACAATATACAGCAGAAAAAGATGTATAAACAATTATTCCCATATCACTTTCCAAATATTTAGAAATAAAGGCAGAGATTGATAAATGTTCTTACTACACACACACACACACGCACACGTACACACACACATACACACACACACACATACATACATATATATATATATATATAGATATAGATATATGTGCGTGTATACACATATATACATGCATATATATGCACATTTCATTGAATACGACAGACAAGGTGCTTTTTAGTATTTTATACAATTTTTTATGCGATCTAATAATTTTTTTTCGGGTGATAAATTATATAAAAACTGTTCGAATGTTCTTTTTTATATATATATAATATAATCACATTATCTACATGCAAAAAAAAAAGGCTAAAAATAATGGAAGACTTATTAATATAAAACAAAAAAAAACAACCCTTAATAACATTAACTTTGAACATGGACACAATATTTTGACCGTGTTTTGAAAAATGAAAACATTTTATAAAACATATATACAACAAACTATTTCTTATTTAACAGTTACAATATTTAATCCTTGAAAATGGCTAAATGTATAGCTGAAAACGCTCTGATAAAAAGAACATTCGGACAAAGTGCTATTTATTTGCATGATAAAACGTGGCACAAGGCTAAAAATGGGAATGTGATAATGGGCCGTCTTCATCAATCTTAATATTAAACACTGACCCAAACATACCACAATATTCCACATTCTTACTTACCTTTCTTACTACATCCACCATAATACCTTATAGTCCTACCTAGTTCCTATATGTACAATTCATTGTCTATGTGGAAAGAGGAATAAAATAACAACTTAAATTTAAAGGAAAGTTAATCAAGACAATTCTCATCAAAGTATTTATAGAAAAGTCACAGAGAAACTAAGTTACGGCGCTGGGAAAGTGGCTGAAGTTGAAATGTCAGATCAAGACCAGTAACATTGCAGATTCTTCTCAAGAATCTCTAAAGATATAACAGGAGAACCAGACAATATATGACAGCAATATTCTATGTATGGACGAATGGTAGACTTATAAATATGTAAGATAGATTCTGAAGGGAAAGATTGTCTAGCACAATAAATCAAATTTTCTAGCAGCAGACTTGATTCAATAATCTTTCCACTTCATGTCAGCGGAAAATGTTAGGCCGATAAGGCGCAAGGACACACTCCCCTGAAGGTTAGCATCAGCCATGCTGATGGAAGACAGAGAAGGGCTCTCTCAGATGACTGGTAATGAACAGTCTTGTTTTGGAGGCATTAAAATTATCAAGCCATTCTAGAAGAGTGGACGTTCAAGACAGCTATAAAGCATCCCCTAAGACACGCTTTAACAGTTGATAACTCACTTATTTTTAAGATTTAACCCATTAGAGATAATGTTGGTCGGTCATATATATATATATATATATATATATATATATATATAAGAAAATATTGGTAATCAGTATGGATATTTCCAAAAGGATATTGATACAAGGAGAGCTCTATGTCAGAGACAGGGCAATATTATAAAAATACGAACCCTTAATATAACACTAGATGATATTTATTTTGGAGAGATCTGAAAAAATTGAGGTTAATTTTCCGACCTTAATGAAAGAAATAACATCTCGTGGCCTGTTAAGGGGTCTTATTGTTATAATACACACACACATACACACACACACACATTTTTTTTTATTTTTAGAGGGTACACTTGTTTGAGTTACTACCTCTCTTTGTTTTTCCTAATGAAACAATGATATTAATAGCAACTGGTCAAAATTGAGAAGTTCTCATGAATAAAAATTGTGTCTCCGACAGGAATCGAGCCAGTATCACTTTTTCCAACAGGGAAATCACAGTGTGTCGCTACCAGTTCAGCCACGGGGCTAGCCTGATGAAGTTTTGAAATTCCTATATTATCGAAAGAAGGTTTTATCTCTATATCTACTAGATTCAGTTTCGTACCAGAAACGAAAATATCAGGCATTTTTTGAAAGGATTTTCTTACCCGACATTATTTTTTATTACTCTAAACGTTATTTTTATTTGTTACACGATTCGAGCTTCAATCTCTGATTTAATTTTTTTTTATTAAGCGGTGAAATTAAGAACAACCGACATAAACTGAGTTCTTCTAAAACAAAATGTGCATACAACTGGAATTGAATTTACTTTCCTTTTTCCATTAGGGAAACCACTTTCGAAAGTGTGCCTCTATCAGTCAGGCCAAGAATAAAAATATATACATTTACGATTATGATATATTTATGGGCAAAAGTGCTCAATATCAGGGACAAAGTGGATGTAAATCTTAAACTGGATACTGAGGTCAACACTGAGCGGCAACAGACCCAAATCTGTCTAGATGAAAGAAATAGATATAATCATCTTCCTAGAACAACAAAAAAAAAATTACTAAATCAACGATCAGAACCTATCTCAAAATGCAGACACAAATAGAAATCTCTATTATGTGACTTAAAAATCGAAAATTAAAAACGAATACCTTGTAAAATGCCATCAAGAAAAATACAATTATCTGTACTATATACAGCACATATAATGTCACGTACTTTAAATTCAATAAAGCTAACAAATAAGATAACTAACATAAACAAAAATATAAATAAGAAAAAATTAAGTATATAATAAACACATTAAGAAACTACGAATATACACATAAATACAAGTAAATGGAATAATAATAATAATAATAATAATAATAATCAACAATTAATTAAGTAATCAATAATAAATAATGAGTAAAAAAAAAAAAACACTATAAAATACTTACTAATAACCGAATTCGGATCCGCAATTATTTTTACCAAATAGTCTCTAGAATAATTTGAAATATATATATATATATATATATATATATATACGACCCTCCCATCCAATAACCGTAGGGATAATACAACTGAACTTGTTACCCATAATGCACAACTGACCAGCATATATAAATAGTCGATCCAAAAGAAGATTGCTTTCAAGCATGAAACATTCTGCTGCCGCTCGATGTCGATTTCACTGTCCAATCATATATATATATATATATATATATATATATGTGTGTGTGTGTGTGTGTGTGTGTGTGTGTGTGTGTGTGTGTGTGTGTGTGTGTGCGTTTTTCTGCAGACTCTGAGATTATGTGCTTTTATGATAATAGACGTCAATGTTATAGCTGTATGAACGAAAGTACAACACGTAATGACTTCACGTGGTCTCCTCAAAATTATAGCACTCGCACGTATATGTAAATATATATGTGAA